TCTATGAGGTATGCTAATGCTATTTTGATCAGGATTGCATTAAATATGTATAACAATTTTGGGAGTATGGCCATTTTCACAGTGTTAGGTCTTCTTGTCCATAAGCAAAGAATCTTTCCATTTGCTGAAATCCTCTTTGATCATTAGGGAGATTGGCCTGTAGTTCTCTTTTTTGGTTTGATCCTTCTCTGGTTTTGATATTGGGGTAATACTTGCTTGTAGGAATGACCTTGGGAATATTGCTTCTCTTTCAATTTCATTAAAGAGTTTGAGAAGCAGCGGCATTAGATCTGCTTTAAATTTCTTGTAGAATTCATTGTAGTAAACTGTAGAATTCTTGTAGTAAATCCGTCAGGACCTGGCCTTTCTTTGTTGGTAGTTTTTTAATTACATCTTCAATTTCATTGACTGATAATGGATTATTTAGAATTTTTGTATCTTCTTTACTTAACTTTGGTCCTTCATCTTGTATCTGGCAATCTGCCCAATTCTTTTGTGTTTTCTATCTTATTTGGGTACAGGTTCACTGAGATTTCTACAGTTTCTTATGGTTTCACCCTTTCCACTCTTAATTGCACGGATTTGACTCTATTCTTTCCCATGTGTGATAAGGTTGGCTAGGAGGTTGTCAATTTTACCTTTAAAAAAATCAACTATTCAATTCAGTGATTCTTTGTATTTTTTTTAGTCTCCCTTGCATTAATTTCTGCTTTGATTTTTATAATTCCTGCTCTTCTACCAGCTTTAGGACCAACTTATTCTTTTTTTTCTAGAGTTTTGAGGTTAACCATTTTTATTTGAACTCATTCTATTTTCCTGATTTGAGAATTCACTGCTATGAGTTTCTCTCATAGGACTCCTTTCATTTTGTCCCATAAGTTCCAGTATGTTGAACTGACATAATCATTTACTCGTCAATACTGTTTAATTTTCTCTTTAATTTCATCTATGATGGGACTGGGGATTTAGCTCAGCGGCAAAGCTCCTGCCTGGCATGCGCAAGGTCGTGAGTTCGGTTCCCAGTACCAGAGAAAAACCAAAAAAAAAAAAAAAAAAAATTTCATCTATGATGTATTGGTCGTTCAGTAGGGTGTTATTTACTTTCCATGCATTTATGGAGTTTTCATGGCTTCTTTCACTATTGATTTCCAATTTCACTGCACTACATTCTGATAATAAACTTGGGATAATTTCAATTCCATTGCATTTGTCTAAGCTTATTCTATGGGCTAGTTCATGGTCTCTTTTGAAAAACATCCCTTGAATGGCTGAGTTAAATGTGTATTCTGATGTGGGGTGAAACACTCTGTAGACATCTACTAAGTCCATTTGTTCACTGACTGGGTTCAGTCCTGCTATTTCTTTGTTAATTTTGTATACTTGATCTATTTGTGATGGTGAGGTATTGAGGTCCCTTATTACAACTGTGTTAGTGGTTATTTGATTTCTTCATGTCTGTTAATATTTGTTTTATAGTTAGGTGTGCTGGTATTTGGTGCATATATATGATTGTTGTCTCTTCTTGGAGTTTTCCCTTAACAAGTATGTAGTGACCTTCTTTATCTCTCTCAATCAGTCTTGGTATACAGTTCACTTTGGCTGCAAATAGAATAACTACTCCTGCTATTTTCTGGGTTCCTATTATATGAAGTATTATTTTTCATCCTTTGACTTTCAGTCTATGAATTTCTTTTTTAGTTAATGTGTTTTCTTTTTTATTTTAAAGATAAAAGAATGGGAACATATTAACAAATACACATACATTTAGAAAAATAACACAAGAACAATACAAGCAATACAGAATCTCAGACAAGGTGATAGGAAATTAGCAATGGTTCTTATATTACATATTGATATCTTCAAACTGGATACTCAGATAAACAAATATAGACATGTAAAATTGATCAGACACTTAAACATTAACTGTTCCTTTCAATAGAGCAATAAAAGTCAGTAGTACAACTATGTTATCTATTCTGTGTACACATATATTCATATTTTCCCCTTATTTCTTTTCTCTTTTCCCTCACCCCAGTTGTTCTTTCCTTTTAAGCAGTTAATGTGTTTTCTTTATGTAGCACATTGTTGGATCTTGTTTCTTGATCCATTCTGCTAGCTGATTTCTTTTGATTGGTGAGTTCAGACCATTTACCTTGATGATTATAGCTGATATATATTGGCTTATGCTTGTCCTATTATTTTCCTGTTGTTGGTTCCCTGTATTTCCTCTCTCTTTCATTGCCTTCTTGGTGGATTCTTTCCATTTGTGTTGCAAAGAACTTATTAATAGAACACTGAGTTCTGATGTTACAGTGTACTCATCTTTAAAAGTACATTTTTGAAAAGAAGAAACAGGACATAGCATGTATAGATACAAGTTCCCTACAATGAATGCGATCATTATGTATACCTAAGTTGTACCAATAAACTTAATAAAAAGAAGAGGGAAATTGCACTTTTGTCATGAGATGTTCACAAACTTAACCATGTGCTAAACATTTTCTTCTAAGGATTAGGTCTGGTCTATTGCAGTACTTCTTTAACACTGCAGTTAATTCAAAGACAGAAGGACCAGAACCAGATGCCTAGATCTAGCATAATGTCTCTGAACCTTAATAATATATGGCCACTGAGACAAACCCAAGCTTCTTTTGAAAAGAGGCCAAGATATACATTATATGTATATATTAAAGACTTTTTGTCTTGAGCTATAGGAGTCAAACATGTACTGCAATAGACAAGTTCTTACTCCACAGATTATGAAAGATAAAAAATTACCTTTTATGAGAAAACCATGGGAACAACTTATCAACTGTGAGGCTTGAAATATTCACCTGTCTTTTGAGTTTTTTAAATAAATTGTTCATCCTTTAAAGAAGATAATTAAATACTAATCTAATTGAAATTTTAAAATAAAGTGATTCTTATGTTCACTTCACACAGCACACAAATCTAACATGAGTGGCACAGCAACAAGTCTTAAGTATTATGCCCAAAAATATAGCAATGTGGGCCTTTATGCTATTGCACAAGGGAGAGTGAATATTCCTTTTATTTTTTTCATTTTGAGGCAGAGTCTTGCTAAGCTATCCAGGCTTAGGTCTAACTTGCAAACCTCCTGCCACAGCTTCTAAGAATGCAGGGATCAGAGACATGTGCTCCAGTGACCTGGTGATGAGACTTTTCAACCACATAGAGAGTAACGGAGGTGGAGACACGGCCTGTGAAGGTGACAGGCTCTGGTGTTCACAGGTTTGCTCATGATCACTTCCTGCCCTCTCACCATCCAACCGAGTGGGGTGGGATGCACTGCTGAACGTATGGTGTGGGGCTGAGGCTACACCCTACCCAAAGCACAGGAATCCCTTTAAAGTCCCATCTCATATGGCTCACCCAACTCAGGTCAGGCCTAAACAGCAGGTGGGTAGAGAAATTGTAGGCTTTTTTAGTCCAATATAAAGCCAACAAATCCTCAGTCCAGCCCCAGGCTTGGTGTGCAGGAAGTGGAGGCACCGTGGGTGAGCCCCTTCAGGGGGATGCTGCGTAGGACCTAGGATGCGTCATGCCTCCCAAGATTCTGGCCAGGCCCCCAGTGTGGAAAGGCCTACTTATCTGACAAGTCTGGAGCTAGTCATCTCAGGGACATTTCTGAGATTCTAGGCTTGAGTCACTGAACTCCTGGCCCAAGTATGTGGTCGGAGGCCAAGGGTAGATGGAAATGATCTCTCTGGCACAAAGCCAAATCCCAGCATGCAGTAGCCCAGAGCAACTTCTATGTGTAGTAGTAGAGTGGACCTCATTGTGCCCTGGATGAGTGCTTGCTCTAACTGGTCTCCCAAAGCAGGCTGTGCTGAGATCAACTGCAGCCTCAGCGCTTGGTTCTATCAAGCAGCCACATGTAGAGCACATGCACCTGCCTCCGGGTCTCCTCCTGCTGGGCTCGCAGGAGTGGCCAAGTTCCTGAGAGGCCCTTCTGCCCTGTGTGTTCCTGCGAACTGGCTGGAAACCTAGAAGAGAAGAGGGTCACAAGCTATCTCCGGGCTCAAGGGCATATCCCGAGACTTCTGTGAGGGCCAGGAAGTAGGCTCAGGGCACACACCCTGATCTTCCCTGTGCAGAATGTCCACTATCTGCTACCCTAGACTGCATTTACCTTTACAAGAACAAGAAAGCAACACAGGGGCATGTTAGAGCACAGCACTGTGTACTATTTCTCCCTCTTTCATTTCTACACTTTTCTTTTTCTTCTTCTTTTCTTCTTCTTTTTCTCTTTTCTTCTTTCTCTTCTTTTTCATCTTCATTTTCTTCTCTTCCCCTCCATTCCCTCTCCCCTTCCATTCCTCTACTCTTCCCTTTCCTCATTCTCTTCCCTTCCCCTTTGCCTTCTCCTTCTCCTGCAACTATTACTTTGGATTCTTCAGACAGGTTCTCAATCTATCCCTGAATAAGGGCTTGAACTCACTACAGAGCCCATGCTGACCTCAAATGTAGAGCAATCTCCCTGGCTCAGACTCCTAAATGCTGAGGTTGTAGGCTTGCACCAACATGCCCCACCCATTCTTTATACTTTGGAGGTATAGCAAAGGGAGCTCCCCACACAGTCTCAGCCTGGGCACACAGGGGCAGAGATGACAGCTTCTCCAGACCCAAGCTGCCAACCCAGGGACAATCAAATGAAGGGAAGAGGCACAGCAAGTACTCAGAGAGACCATTGTCCCTGTCACCCTTGAGGTCTGGAAATGTCACTCTCGTGACTATCTCTTTCTCCCCTTTCTACCTTGCATCATCCGGACCAAAGTGGGAAAGGTGCAGATACTGCAAGTTGCTGGCAATTGACTCACCCTTCCTGGATTTAGCAAACGATGGATCACCAGACAGGGGGCTGAAGCCAATTGTCCTATAAGTAGTTCCCTCTTGAGAGCCATCTCACCACTCATTTTCCTTCTCCCACAACTCCCAGGCTCATCAGCAGCTCTGAAGCCATGACCTTGCATCTTCAGTGTGTGTTCCTCATCCTCGGGGGAGCCCTTCAGACCAAGATCCTGGATGCCTCACCATCCATGAACCAGAAACCGTCACTGCACAAGGTTGTCCTACAGCCAAACTTCCAGGATAACCAGGTAAGGGCTCTGGAAGGGCAGCTGCAGGGGGCTTCTTTGGAACACAGACAATGGGATGACAAGCGAGGACAGGCCAAAGGACTCAGAGGCAGATTTGGATGGGAAGACCAGGACGCAGAAACAAGGTCCAGCGCATGTCAGGTGAGGCTATCTTCAGTCCCTCTGCACAGCCAGGAAAACTGAGACTCTGGAAGGTGCACATTCCACTTGCTCAGGGCCATTCCATCATGAAAATTCAAAGCTAACTACTCACCCAGAGTCTATCCTAATTCTGGATGGCCCAAGATCATGCCCAAGTCTCACTGCAGGCCCACACCTGGGCCCAGGTGCACAGGGTTCTGCCCAGACGCACCAGAAGAGCAGCACGGAAGGGGCACCTCTGGGGCCATCTCCGGGCTCTGCCTGTTATCAGCCCCTTGCAGTTCCAGGGGAAGTGGTACGCCTTGGGTGTGGCAGACACCACCATTCAGAATGGAAGGAAACACCAGTTAACCATGTACAGCGTCAACTATAAGCTGCAAAGGGACCACAGCTTCTACGTAAACACCACGAAGCTCAGGTGAGTCACTTCCTCCGGAGGGTCTGATAGGCAGTGTGATGTCACAGCCAAGGGGTGTCTAAAGCTGAGGGACACTGTCATTCATCTCATGACCCCGCACTCCGTCTTCCTCCGACCCTTTCATCAACATGCCTGCGAGGCTCCAGCACAAATTACATACCTACAATCAGTAGAAACAAGACAGAGAGTATGGTGTGCCAGAGGGGAGGAGGGACCCAGGATCTACTTGGCTCCCCAACCAAGGCCTCCATCTAGGGTGTGGAGGGAAGTGACCCTAAACGAGCCAACCTCCCTACAATCCTAGCACAGTCAGCCCCAGAGACTGAAACAGGAAGAACACAAAGTTGAAATAGCCTTGGATAACTTGGTGACACCTGCCTCTAAATAAACATTTTTAAAAGTGCTGGTGATGTATCTAAGTACAGTGGCACTGGGTTCAATCACCACTATAAGCACCACACCGACAAGATAGGAGGTGTGGGGGTCACAGCAGGGGCTGGGGGACTCTGAGTAAGAGTCCTCACCTAAGGAAGCAGCAGAGCAGTCAGCCATTAGCACGGCCACCCAAAGAGGGCCAATGAGGAGCTGTGAGCGGGGCATTCACAGGCCAGTTACTGAGCATCCGATCTGAGGCAGGGCCTCACCAGCAGCTCCTGCAAGGCCCAGGATCTGGGTGCAGCTTCAGCAGAGGAGGAAAGGTACAAAAGTGTGGCCGGGCAGTTCCAGTTAAGAGACTACCACGGGGCAGATGAGGACTAGGAGAGGGAAACCTAGGCTCTTCTACATGTAATGCATTCCTGCCTATCAGACCCTCCGGAGGAAGTGACTCACCTGAGCTTCGTGGTGTTTACGTAGAAGCTGTGGTCCCTTTGCAGCTCTAGCAGGAATGCACTGGTTGGGTTGGAGTTGGAGCATTTGAGGACTTAGGGTCACAGTGAAGACAGGACTGAGGGGCTTAGCTATGGTGTGCAGGGATGGTGTGCTCAGGATATTTGAGTTGCAATGAATGCTAGCTCTGGCCACTGGGTGCATTGGGGTTAGACTTCATGAAGATTGAGGATCACATCAATGGAGGACTGAAGGGCTTGGCTATGGGGTGAGAGGTGGGGTACACTCATTTAAAAATCAGGTTATAGCTCCAAGGCGAGGGCCGTGCTTGGCATGGAGCACAGTGAAGTTCGGAGTAAATTACCAGGAGACAGGAAAGAGAAGCAGCAAATATAAGATTAGGGCAGGGCCTGGGTTCTGCGCATGACAAAGTCTTGCCCTCCCCCATGAGCAGGCAGAAGAAGAGACAGTGTGGCCTGGAGGGAAGCTCAAGCAGCCCCTGGAGCACACAAGGCAGAGGCTCAGTGGGGAAGACCTAGGGCTATGGACTGGGCCGTGCCGCTCCCCTGCCTGGTGGGGGACAAGGTGGTATGAGCTGGGCTGGACCAGGGCCTCGGAATCCCTGTCCAACCAGGGATTACTGTGTGGCCTACTGCAACCAGTGGGGCCTGCTGCAACCCTGGGCACACTCCCACCTGCCCGTTGTGCCGTGCCTGTGACAACTCCCTTCTCAACCCCCTCCATTTCTCACTCACCCAGGGGCAAGGAATGCGAATTCTCTTTGTTAACTCTTGTCCAAATTTGGAAGCCAGGCGAATTCACGCTCAACAATTTCATAAGTGAGTCCTGAGTGGTGCTGGGGGGGTTGGGGCTGGATTTTAGGTGGCAGTGTCCACCGAGGACGCAGGCCTCCCCACCTGTCTACACAGATGCTGCTCTGAGGGGAGCCACTCTTCTTGACCGGTCAGGGAAGATGGGGACAGTTCCTTCCTCCCAGCCAGAGCAGAGATGACTCTCACCATTTACCCATCAGGGAACGGTGGAATACTGAGCTACAACATGAGAGTGGCAGCCACCAACTACAATCAGTTTGCCATAGTTTACGTGGAGAAGAATGTCAGATTCAAGTGGTACTTCGAGCTCACACTCTATGGTTCGTCCTCACTCTATCCCCTCAGGGACCTGGCTCCCGGCAACACACAAGGGAAGAATCTGCTGTGTCCCCCAAGACTTCAAACTCTTCCCCAGTTTGAGCCCCCATCAAGAAGGAGGTTTTTTCCATAGACCCTCTATGGCAAAGGGGTCTAAGCCCTCATCCACTCCTTCGAAAGTACTGATGGAGTGAGCCAGTCATGGCAGTGCATGCCCCTCAACCCAGCACTCAGGAGGCAGAGGCAGAGTTATGGGGCTATACAGCAAGACCCTGTCTTGTAAAACTTTAAAAAAATTGCAAAGTGTTTCTCTTGGTCACTCACCAAATGTCTTGACCACAGGAAGAACCAAATATCTGTGCCCTCGACTGAAGAAGCACTTCATCAAATTTGCCAAATCTGTGGGCTTCGCTAAGAACAACATTGCCTTCCCCGTCTCTGTTGGTAAGGAGTGGCTGAGGAGTGCAGAGGGGACATGAGATTCTCCTGGCCTCATGCTGCCCAATCAAGGAAAGAAGACAGGAAAGTCAGCCCCCCGCTGTAGTCACTGGAGGGGCGGTAATGACCAGGCAGGGCCTTGTGGTTGCCCAGAGATTCTGGCCCCAGTGGTCCCTTGACAGTTTAGTCAAAGACAGACCAGATGACAGTTTCAGGCCCACAGCCACATCTCCCCAGTCTCATGGCCCTGGGCCGCTTCCTGTGCATACACTGGGCCTTCTGTCCTGGGCCACCTCTTGTCCAAACATTGTGTCTTGCTCTACTGTCTACTTTCCCTTTCCCTTTCCTAACAATGGAGATGTCCTTACTTCAGGGACCCTGGCCTGGGCAGAGATTCCAGCCAGGTCACTCTGGGGCATTGGCTAAGTGGCTGTAGGACTGTGTAGAAAAACAGGTTGGAGGCCTCAGTTCCAAGCCTCTGTGAGGCCCACCAGCTCCACATATCGCACCCCCAGGTCCTGAAGTCAGGGAAATCTTAGATCCACTGTGTCTAGGCCAGACTGGGCCTGAGGAAGACAGGGCCAGGGAATGGGTCCTCACACCCACAGATCTCTCTGTCTCTCTCTCTCACACACACACACACACACTCACCTGCTTGTCTGATGTTCTTTCTCCCCACAGAGGAATGCATCGATGGATGAACTGTCAGTGAGTACAGCTTGGTTGACAGCTGATGGGAGTTCAGGGCAGGGTGGGCTATTTGTCTTGAGGCTGCCTTTGTTCCTCTCCTCCCCAACCCTGAGGCCCAGTCATCTTTGCCCTGATCCTCCCTCTCAGGCGCCTCCCATGTCTCCTCTTGTTCTTATTGTCACCCATGCCTAAGGTCCCATCTGGCTGCCACATCAGCAACAATGCCACCAAGACAGAGAGAAGACCCTTCCTACGGTGCACCGCTGCCTGCCCGTCACTCCAAAAGCCACCTCCTTGGTGGAGCCCCTCTTTCCTGCTAAATAAACATATGCAACGAGGTCTCTGAGTCTGCTTCTCTATCTCTACTTGCTTGATGGCACAAATTACAAAAAAGAGGACCACTGCTTGGTTTGGGGCCCACCCTACTTTTGAACATTGCTAATGGTTGGGATGGTACACCATTGAAGACCTTCTGAAAAATCCCTCCTGGTCTCCCCAGTTTCTTAAATATTCCACAACGTATTCATATTGGAACTATGGCCATTTGGGCTGAATTAGTTCTGCCTATCCAAAAACAGGAGATATCTTTCCATATTCTAAGATCTTTTCTGAGATTGCTGTAATTTTTGTTATAGAGTTCTTTCTCTTTGTTGGTTAGGTTAGTGTTGAATTTTTCTTGGTGTTATTGTGAATGGTACATTTTTCTAATTTTTTATCAGTAGGCTCGTTATTAGCCTGCAGAAATGCTATTGATTTTCATGTGTTGATTTGTAGCCCTCTGCATTGCTGGAAAAGGTTATTTGAAGAGTTTTTGGTGAAATTTTTGGGGGCTTCCGTGTAGAGTATTATGTTATCTACAAATAACGATAATTTGACTTTTTCCATTCTTACATATATTTTTGTTGTTGCCTAATTACTGTTGATAATGTTTCAAGTACTATGGTGAAGACAAGGGATGACACTGGACATCTTTGTCATGTGCTTGATTTTAGAGGGAAAGTTTTCAGTGTTTACCCATTTAATACAATGTTGGTAGTAGGTTGGTCATAAATTGTGTCTACAGATTCTATGATGTCACAAAGCATTGCAGGTCAGGCCTTCTAAAATCAAACACAGTAGCTCACCTAATAGCACAGCGGTTTAACATCTATTTTACTTACTTATAAATTCATCATTTAAAAATTTAAATTTTAAAACCTTGGTGGTTAACTTTTTTAAAGGAGAATGAAACATGAGGGCCAGGGAACTTAACAGTAATAAAGCATATGAATAACATCAGAAGCAACGAGTTTTAATGAGAATCTACCACTATGTAACCAAGTTCCTATAGCACACAGTAGCTTAATAGGAAGAACATAAAGTTTTCCTCAAGAAAGTTCCCAAAGTGTCTTATATTATTTTATTTTTATGACTTCAAGACTTTATTGTTTTATCTGTTATTTCTCCATATATATGATTTTCATAATCATATTGTTTCATTTATAAAATTTTTCTTTAGTTCTATTCTTCATTCCAAATTTAGTAAAGTTCACTGTATTTATTGGCTTTACCACATATTTTTCTTACTTAAAAGTACTAAACTAATCAAAAGAAGCAGAGTGTAAACATTTCCAAGCGACATGCACCTGGTACTAGATCAACTGTCTTGGATGCCAGAGGTCATGGGATTCACCTGCCTTACGACTGTCATTGGGAACATGGGATGGGATCTGTCCCAGTGCTCCTGCAGTCTGGTTAGGTTGATGCCAACTTCTCTCCACATACTGGAAGCAGCTGCCAGGATTGGGGAACAACATTGGGGCTTGCGGGTTGGCACGCTGAAGCCACTGCTGGCTATTTTCCATAGCAAGGAAGACAGAAACATCACAAGGCTACTGCACAGTATGTTTGAATAGAGAAGAGTCACATCAGAGGTGCACAGGTTCCTTATAGTAGAGAAGAGGCTTACAATTTGAATCAGAAAATTAATTGAAAAAAATGATACATGTAGATCAAACTTAATAACTGTGTCATTGGTGGGGGTAGCAGAGCCACTATGACTGTCTGCACCACTCCAACCCCCACCCCTCAGGGGATCAGCCGTGTTGATGTTGTTCTAATCAAAAATAATTCTTTCCTCAAAACACAGGGATAGAACCCAAGTTCCTTAAATTAAATTGTTGAAGAGGCAAATACTATCTGGCCAAATAAAAGTGAAAACACATCATGAGAAGGTAGTATCTTATCTTATCTTATCTGAAGGTAGTATCTTATCTCTCTTTGAAAGATCTTCACATAAGTTACAAGCTCTCTTTCTACTTGGGTGCAGACTTCAGTACAAAACCTAAGTCAAAAAGGAAATAACACACATACATGCAGGAACATGGGAATATAAGGCAAAAAACACCGCTAAGTTCTCCAAATACTCCCAAGGCAGAAGCAAGGAGAACAAATGGAGTAGAAATCAAACAGCAGGTAATGCAGCTCTACATGTTGGTTTGTAAAAGGTGGAGAAACAAGTTCAAAGAAAACATGATCCAAAAATTTATGGAGTTATACAAAATATCTAATGTGAACGTGGGGAAAACAAAATTAGAAATTGAAAGTGTTGACCAAAGTGGTTCAAACAATGAAGGACAAATTTACCAAAGGCAGGGAATCCATGGAAAGGAATCAGAGAAAATTACACCATATAAAAACTTTATGTAACTCATAAATTGGAGAAATGACTGATGTGAAGACATGGTTAATAAAACTGAACACAAAATAATAAATTATGACAAATTTCACAGAAAAGCCTCAGAATAAGAAAAACTGACATAACAGTTACTAGGCAATACTAAGAAGACTAACCTACAGCTAAATGGAATTAGAGAAAAACTAGAAGATACCACACAGGGAGTAATTAACTGATCTACAGTAATCATAATAGAGAACGGTACTAATAGGAGAACAGAGTTCAATGTACAAGTGAGTATAGCTCACACAACATCAACAAGCTGTAATGAAAAACAAACTCATGAAAAATTATAATTAAAGTGCAAGACATTTAACAAAAAGACTAGAATTTTAAAAGAAGTTTGAGTAAAGTAAAACAATCACACACAAGGTTAAAGTCATTAAAATCACAGAAGATATTTTAACACAAACTTTAATGTCCACAAGAGGTTGGAGTGAAGAGTTCCAAGTCATGAAAGCATACAATTTCTAACCCACATTAACATATGGCCAAAATGTTCTTCAAAGTAGATGGAGGAATAAACTCAAGTCATGAAAAAGAACAAATTAAGAGATTTATGAATACTAAACCAACACTCAAGAAAATATTCAAAAATATTATAGACAGATACAGTGAAACCCAAATGGATGTCTGTTTGTTAATATGTCTTCCTTCCTTTATTTTTAAAATAAGTTTTTTAAAAAGATACAATGAAACCAACAAACCAAAAAATCCAGAGAGAATAAGTATGTCAAGCAAGGTAAATAGATAAGCAAAAATTACATAGTAGGAAAAGAAAAACAAAAAACTCATCAACAAACAAAGAACACAATTTTAGTAATTGCTCAACACATCACAATGATATCTCCAAATGTTAGTGTCCTCAGTTAAATACATAGATTGCAGACTGGATCCAAAAAGCAGAATCCAACAGTATGTTGCATCCAAGACACTCATCTAATATAAAAAGATATTCAGAGACTAAAAATCAAAGGATAGAAAAATAGTTCACGTACTTAGACCCTGAAAACAAGAGAGGTAGCTATTTTACATCTCAGGAAAAGTGAACTTCGAGCAAAAACTTATCAAAAGAAACAAAGTCACTACATGTTAGATAAAATAAATCAACAAAAAGAGATAATATTTGTAAATATATATGCACCAAATACTATATCATGTATCATCATAAAACAAATACTGCCAGACATAAAAGATCAAAAAACATGAACAAAATCATAGTGAAGAGCCTCGATACCCTTTAAATCATTATTGGTGCTGAGTTCACAATCTTGAGTAGTTGCTTGTCCCAACACTACCCTGACAAAATACCACCTTTCCCCCAGCACCTCCACCTCGACTCTCCAACCTTCCATTGATCACCACTGAGTCTTATAGTGCCTGCTCCAGGCAAAGTCCCCACAGCCCCTCCTGAGATGGACCCAGGTCCCTCTCTAGGCCCACTAGGGAGCAGGTGGCCAGAAGAGGGGAACTGGAATGTGGGAGAGGTCAGCATGGTCTAAGGGCAGTATGGTAGCCTGAACAATGCTCCCAAGTGATATTCATGTCCTCCCTCCAGAACCTGTTTTTGGTGGTTTTGTTTTGTTTTCTTGTCTGGTTT